GATTTAAAAATTTGTTAAGAACAATCAATAGACTAAATAAAGCCGTTTCTTTTATCTCATTTACTGTTGTGTAATTTATTTTGCTTGAAAATAAATAAAAACTGAAAGCACCGAAAATAAAACCATATCAAGCATTCTCATTTTTTAAATCGATAAATGTTTGAAAAAAAGCGTGGCCTTATTGTTTACAACAATACAAGCAGTAATAACCATGATCGAATTAAAATTTCTGTAAATAATTTAAAAATATTGGTTCATGCCAAACATCAAACTTCTGCACGTTTCCTTAACATCAATCGTAAAATACCGGTTATTTGGGTTAATTGGTGCTACAATCATAATTTTAAGGTTATTTTTGTTGGCTTGCTTGCGTTAGCGTAAAACTATACAATAGGCTATCTGCGTTCTGGCCACCACAGGGAATCGAACACCGGATTTTAGCGTTGTAACTCCGTCAACTTAGCACTGGCCCACCCACTGGGAGATTTTTTAAGAAATACATGATTGACAATGTAGCTCATCCAATACTAAAACTACTAACACTAATTATTGTGTTTGTCGTATCCCAGCCGATCCGGTAAACCCTATTTGACAAAAGGCCTCGTTGTCATTGGATACGGCAGATGTAGCGTAGTTGACATGTTATAAGACACTCTTCTTTCCTTTCACTCATTATTCCACCTGTACGTGTAAGAAGCCGCATTTGTCAACCAAACGAAAAGCGCCATCTCATCAAAAACTGTATATATATATATATATATATATTGATCAGAACAAAAAAAAAATATTTAGTCATAACTGATTAGCTGCAGCATAAAATATTAACACATACGATTATTGATTTTGGAATATATCTTATAGAATATGAATATTCCATTAATGTAAAATTTAATAGTTTACATAATCAAACCATTTGTAAGTTTTATCGGTCAATATGTTAGCGTAAAACGTCACTCTTTTATGAATCCTTTCGTGCAGCGAAGCCTAACTGCTACAAAACATCACTTATAGCATGGTTAAGAAAAAATTGGGAAGTTTAAAAAACGATAAGGCTCCTGGGCCAGATAATATTTCCCCAAGGGTTTTAAAGGAGGTTAAAGATTGGATATGTGAGCCACTTACTACTATTTTTTGTCAGTCCTTGAATAGTGGGCAAGTACCAGAGGATTGGAAGTTAGATAATGTAACTCCTATTTTCAAAGGAGGTGACAAAAATTGTCCCAGTAATTATAGATCCATTAGTCTTACATCAGTTGTGGGAAAAGTTTTGGAAAGTCTGTTAAAAGATGCTTTACAAAGTCTTTTAACAAAGTTTAGAATTTTATTGGATAGTCAACATGGTTTCACTAAGGGAAAATCTTGCCTTACAAATCTTTTAACATTCTTTGTAAAGGTTACTGCTTATGTAGATGAGGTAAGGGTGTAGATTTGGTGTATCACAGTTTTCAGAAGGCATTTGACAAAGTGTCACACAAAAGGCTTGTACAAAATTTAGCTCTATAGGTGTGGGGGATAAGTTAGCAAATTGGATAGAAGAGTGGCTGGATGGAATAAAGCAGAGGGTTGTTACAAATGGAGTTCAGTCAAACTATATTAATGTCACAAGTGGGGTACCTCAGGGCTCAGTCTTAGGATATTTGCTCTTTTTGATTTACATCAATGACAGATGAAGGAATAGTCAATAAAATACTTAAATTTACAGATGAAATTAAAGTTTTTGGTATGTGAAGAGGATGCTGCTGATTTACAAAAGGGTTGAACTCATTTATTGAGTTGGGCAAATAAATGGCAGATTGTTTTGAATTATAATAAATGCAAGATAATGCATGTGGGTTATCAAAATTTGAAATATAACTATATTTTGGATGGGAATAACCTTATCAGTGTTATGAATGAAAGGGATCTTGGTGTAAGAGTTGATCAGTCTCTAAAGCCATCCAAGCAGTGTGCTTTTGTTAGTGGTAGGACAATAAGGATTTTAGGTTATATCTACAGAAATATTGAATACAAATCTAACGAGGTTATGATTTCATTGTATAGGTCACTGGTTAGGCCACATTCGGAATATTGTGTTCATTCCTGGGCTCCTTACCACAGGAAAGACATTAAATTGATGGAAAGGGTTCACAAAAGGGTTATTAGAATGGTGCTTGGGATGGAGATGTTGTCATATGAGGAGAGGCTGAAAGCTCTCAAATTGTTTTCTCTTGAAAAAAGAAGAGTTAGGAGGGATCTGATTGAGATGTTTAAGATTATAAAGGGAATTTATAGTGTTCATGTATCATTTTTTTATATTTAACAGTGAGAATAGTAGAACTAGGGGACACAAATATATATTTTAGCAAGGTAGGGGTCATCTTCAGCTAAGACAGTTTCATTTTTCTAACAGAATGGTTGGCCTTTGGAATGGGTTGCCTTCAGATGTTGTAGAGGCAGTAAATTTAAGTGAGTTTAAGAAAAAGCTTGATAAATATATGAATGAGAAGGGCTGGCTTTAAGATTTTTTATTTTGTTTTAACTATTTTAATTTAGTTTAGAGGATGGAACAGCCGAGATGGCCCAATATGTTCCATGTTGTCCCAAAACATTGTTATGTTATGGACACACGTTTACAGCATCTGTTTATTAGACGTTCATCAGATACAACCTCGGAAGGATTTTGTTGTTGTTGTTCAAAAATGCTTAAATTTATTAGGCGCAAGTAGAAGCAAAAGTAAGAACGTATTATTATAGGTTTTTGGATAAAATGTCAGCGACCCTGGTCAAACTTAAATACACTACGTCATGCTACGACGGCCACAGTAATTCCCACTCAGCTGTGAGCCACCAAGGTCAAAAGAGTTTTGCCATTACTCCAACAGAACAGCAAGTTAACTTGACTGTCTAACTTCCCGCTGTTCCTACCTCTAACGCGCTCTGAGCGGCGACTATTGCCACATAGGCGCACCATGATACCGTGCGGAACGACCCTTACATCTAGCAATTCCGGAACGTGACAAGCCCCTTGTGGCCATGGCGGCTTGACTCAAAGACGAGCTCGCGGCGCAGCTGTACGTGTTCTCTGTGTGGGACGTTACGAACCCCGTGCGGTCGGGATAACCCGCTGTCACTGGGAGTGCTCCATTTATACATGATGTAGTGCGAAGGCCCGCAGTCGCCATGTCAAGTACCCAACGTGGTCACAGCCCAGGTGACACTCAGTCGAGCCGACAACTTGTTAGTGGCATTAAACGTGCTGCGCGTGACGGGCTAACTCTCTATAACCCAGCCATAGCTATGGAGTCGAGCACATGTAAACAGGTACACGTAATTAGGGCGTTGATGTTAACTTTAGTCTAGAATTATTACTCGGGTAAGCCGTGCATTCAACCAGTTTAAACACCACAAACAGAAAACTATTTGTTTCTAACTTAATTAAAATATTTATGTTCAAGTTAAATTACGCAGTAACTTTCGCGCCTCCCAAACTGATGATTGTGTCAACCAAGTATCAAGAAATATGTGTGTGTGTGTAGCACATTAACTTTTTCTACAGAAACAACAAAAACAAAACACCTTATCTTCGTCACTCACCTCAGTATTAACACAGAATGGGGCTCGTCTGTATTGTCCTGCCAACCTGGTGATACATAAACCAAGAATCTGAAAAATAAAATTAAGAAACATCGTTTTAATTCCAATAATCTGGGCGAATTGAATATTAAAAACAAAAGTTTGAGAACAGAAGCATATATTAAATAGGTCTAATGTTT